TGTTCTTAGGTTTCGCTACCTGAGTTGCATGGCTTGGGTTGTCCAGCAAACCTCAAGATGCGAATTATATTTAAGTTAGTTGTGTATTGTCATGCCTCTCACGGACTAGCAGAAACAAATATCAGTCCTACATGGAGAGGAGACATCTTCACTTAGGCCCCAAGGTATTTCCACTGGTACGTTTCCAAAAATACCTGCAGAAATCATCAACCACAATTAACCAGGCACACAAAGAAACAAGGCTGTGTGAGCAGGAAAAAGCATGTGCAGATCTTAAGAGAAATCAAGTTTTGAAATTATCTGAAAACATTTTAAAACTATGCTTACTGTGCTTAAAGAAAGAAGCGAGTCGTTGGAAATTATTGGCAGGGACTGCTGTTGTTGGGTGCCACGCAGTTCTTCCCACACGTGTTGTTGTTAGGTACCATCGAGTCAGCTCCAACCCACAGGGACCCTGTGCACAACTGGACGAGACCCTGCACAGCTCTGCGCCATCCTCACACTGGTTCCTATGCTTGAACCCATTGGTGCAGCCACTGTGTCCATCCATTTCGTAGAGGGCCCTCCTCTTTTTCACTGCCCCTCCACTTTAACAAACATGATGTCCTTTTTTAGGAACTAGTCTCTCCTGACGATGTGTCCAAAGTATGTAAGACGGAGTCTTTCAGTCCTTGCCCCTAAGGAGCATTCTGGCCTTACTTCTTCCAACACCGACCAGTTTATCCATTTAGCAGTCTATGGGACTTTCAATATTTTTCTCCAGTACCACAATTTAAAGGTTCAATTCTTCTACAGGCTTCCTTCCTTATTCAATGCCCAACTTTGACATGCATCTGATGAAATGGAGAATACCATAGCTTGGGTCAGGCACGCATTAGTCCTCAAAGTAGCATCCTTGCTCTTCAATACTCTAAAGATGTCTTGTCCTGCAGATTTACCTAATGAAATACATCTTTAAAATTTTTTAAAGCATTTTATTGGGGCTCATTTGATCTTTTGGTCTCTTGATGGCTGCTTCC